CTTCTGAGCGGGGGGGGGGGTCTGTGATTTCTTGCTTTGTGTCTCTCATTCTCTCTGTCCAGTGAGTGCATGTGCCCTATAGTAAAAATGTCTCTAAAAAAAGTTTGTCATAGTCTTCATGTGTCAGGGAAGGCTGCTGTGGTGTAGTTTAACATGCTCTTCTGCCTTCTCGAACCTCTCTATTTCCATAAGTTAATAGTGGGATTTAGATGATGATTAGATACTGATTTGATTTGATACATTCAACCATAGCAATCATTGACTATCTTCTTTTTTTAAATACTTTTTTCTAATTTAACTTAATTTATTTCAATTTGAGCAGAGAGGGACAGAGAGAGAGAGAGAAAGAGAGTGAGGGAAAGTGAGAAGGCAAGTCACCAGGTCAGAACTCGAACCACAGTTGGCCATGTGGGAGTCCAGTGCCCTTAACTACCATGCCACCTGCCGGCCCCAATTACCTTTTTAAATGTGGTGTTAGCAGCTGTTGATGGTCAGTGCCTATGCTCCTTAGTTAATTAAAGAATTATAAAATGAAGTGAGGTGGTGGCATAGTGGTAGCACAATTAGGCCCATTAGGACGGTTCTGGGTTCACATCCTGTGACTCCTGAATATCCTCAGCATGCACATGCATATTGCTAAGACTGGGTGTGGGGACTCAGGGATGTTTGTCACTCTGTCTCTCTCTTTTCTTATTTTGTTTTGTTTATTCAAGTGTTTGCCATAGTGCACATGTGCTCCCCAGAGAGAGACAAAGAGAGACAGTGAGAGGAAATGAGAGATGGGCACATTGCAGTTTCTTCTCTGTCATTCTCCTCCTAGGACTTTGGGCACATGTGTTCAGCATCATTTTCAAGCTGCTAGGTCTGGGACTCAAAACGTTTTCAGCTATGTGGGACTCCAACACCTTGACCACCATGCCACCTGCTGGCCCCTGTCTCTTTTTATCATATGGAAAATAATATGAATTGCTTTAAAAAATTATGAGGTGGTGATCTAGTTCTATTTTTTCCTTTTTCATTTACTAGGCAGAATACTTTGATAATGAGGAACTTAGCCTCCTTTATTAGTCATCCAGTGATGCAGTTTGTATATGAAACATGAGATGAATACTTGATGATTGCTACTTATTTGCTGGTTTTCAGTCTGCTAAGTGTGTTCCTTAGCTTAGTCTAATGATGGTCTTTGTGTGTATTAGTATGAACACATTGATTTAGACATATTTACCATTTGTTATTCTTATTGATAGGGAAATTGTCGCTTTTGTTCAGTGGAAGACTTTCCAGGTCCTTTTGGTAACCATAGAAGTCTTCGATACCTTTTTTGATATTTGGATGAGTAGAAGTTCCAAGTTCACCAGTGTATATCTATACATTTTCAAGAGGCCCTGATTTCTTTTAATGAGAAATGGTTTTTAGAGATCAAATCTGGATGCTCGGGGTGTACAGTTCTACCGGACTGTCATTATTCCTAAACCTTCCATTGAACAGAACTAGAGAATATACATACTTGTGAGAGTGTGTGTTCTTATTTAAGACAAAATATATCATGAAGTTTAAATTGATACTTCCACTTCAAGTCAGTGCCAAAATGGTAACTATTTTCTGCTCATATTTTATTTTCTCCCTTGTCAAAAATCCCATTTCCTTCAGTGTTTTTGGTAGCAGAATTAGAATATCCCATATATCACTTATTTGCTTTGTTGCTCATCAGGTAATCTCAGAATAGTAGTACTAAAACTATCACTGGCAGATTACTGAAAACAGAAAGAATCTAGTGCTTCATTTCACTTCATTTGCTATAGACATTCATTTTTTTTCTTATGTCATTTTTGGTAATTTACACATTTTTATAGGAATATATTTATTTTTCTAAATTTATATAATTATTGACAAAAATTTAAAAAAATTGCCTTATGTCCTTATTATCTTTTAAACCTCTGCTGTCAAAATAATTGCATTCTTTTCATTCTTTTTGTTTGTGCCTTTTTTTTTTTCCCTTCTTGTTTTATCTTGTCAGAAGTTGGTTTTGTGAGTCTTTTCAAAGAATGACTTTTGAGGGTGGGCAGCAGATGGTGTAACGGTTATATTGCTGGACTCCCACATAACTGACTGCAGTTTCAGTCCTGGACCTGGTGGCTTGAAAATCATGCTGAGCATGTGTGCATGCATGCCCAAAATCCTGGGAGGAGAATGGAGGAAAAGGGATTATAGCATGGCCATCCTCCCTGTGGGGTGATTTCTCACTTTCCCTTTCACTGTCTGTCTCTCTCTCTCTAGTGAGCACATGCACCCTAAGGCAGAAACCTCTTTAAAAAAGATTTTAGGTTTTTTGAACCTGTGTAAATTTTTATATTCTTTTAATTTCTTATTTCTCACCTCCTTCCTTCTGTTCTTTTGGTTTTATTTTGTCTTTTTCTCACCCCGAAGTTCCTAAGTAGGTGCTTAGTTCATTATTTATTAACCATCATGTTCTTAATATAAATATTTAAGGCTATTAATTTTCACTTCATGTTTTAGTATCAATAGCAATTCATTGTAATCTCTAAATTGATAGAGTCCATTTTCTCTGTTAGTGTTAAGAATTTTTGTGAGAATGGTTTTGGGATTTCCCTGAGAAATTATTTTTCTCCCCTTTTAGCAAATAGTCTTGATATTGCCCCCCATTTATTCTTTGCACTGTAACTTCATGTATAATATGGATATTCTTAGTTTTGCTGAGTAGGTTCCCTCTATCCACCGACCTACCTACCTACCTTGCTTGCTTGCTTGCTTTCTCTATCTATAATCTATCATATTTTTTCTATAGGGCACATGCGTGTGCTGGAGAGAGATAAAGTGAGAAATCACCCGTGGGCAGGCTGGTCATGCTGCAATCCCTTCTCCAGTCTCCTCCTGAGATTTTGGGCATGCACTGTGGGATGCATGATTTTTCAAACCACAGTCAGCCTTATAGACTAGTGCCTTTACTACTAAACCACCTGCTGGCCCCAAGCCCCCACATTTTTTTTTTTCCTGGTAGTTCTTCTACAAGTTCTCTAAGTTTTTTTTTTTCCCTCATTTTTAAAAGTCAGTTTTTTTTAGATAAATTCTACATAAAATAAAACTCACATTAGCATACAGTTTTATGAGATTTGACAAACATACATATTCATGTAACCTTCGCTATAGTCAAGATATAGAAACATCCAATCATCCCACAAAATGTGCTCACGTGTATTCTAGTCTCTCCTTCCATCATTCTTTCTGCAGTGCCTGCCTCCTACCCCAACTAGTTGGTTTCCCTGTGACCTTACTCTCTGAGAAGGGCCAAAAAAGTTACAGTTTGTTGATTATCTTGCCTTTGTTCCCATTAAGGATATGATACTGTTTCCAGTAAGATACATTTTTTTCCTATCCATTTTCAGTACGTTGAAGTTTTTGCATATTTTTTTCATTGCCAGAGGGTATGTGCTTGCCAGAGAGAGAAAGAGGGAGGAAGAGGGAGAAAACATCCTCCAGTGGGTGTGGTCACACTGCAATCCCTTCTTCTTCATTTTTCCATCTTATTAGGGTTTGGGGCATGCATGCACACACTTTTAGTGCATTTTTAAAGCCACCAGGGCTGGGATTCAAACTGTGATCAGCCATGTGGGATCTTGCTCTCTCAGCCACCAGGTCGTGAATTGCCCCTCACCAGTTTTTCTCGAAAGCTATTATTTGAATATCTTTCTTCCACAGATTTTTTTCTTTTTCTTTTTAAAATTTTGCTATATAGTGTGTGTGTGCTCATGTTGAGAAGGACGCAGAGAGAGAGAGGGAGAGAGAAAGTGAGAAATAACTCCTCAGGGGTAATGACCCACTGCAATCTCTTCTCCATTTTCCCCTCAAGATTTTGAGCATACATGCACACACGCCTGGTGTGATTTTCATGCCACTGAGTCTGACTCTATGCAGTTGGCCATGTGGGATCTAGCAGCCTTAAACTCCACACCACTTGCTGGCCCAGATATATATACATTTTTAATATCGTGTGCATTTTCATTGAAATTTTCCCTTTTTAAATAGTGATCTCTTAGATACTTAAATATTTTGGATTTCAAATCTCTTAAATTTGAGTTAAAAATTGATCACTTTAATATCTATGTTTGAAGTTTATGAATTTTCAGACTTTTTTCCTAATTTTTAGTTCTGATTTCCAAATTAAATATTGGCAGATGTTCTCCTAGACATATTTTATTCTATTACTAGAGGACTTATTTTGTTCCCATATGTATAATTAAAGAAACATTGGATAAATTTAAGTGTTTTGATACCAGATTTATTATTCATTTGTGCTTATCATTTTAATGTGCCTTGATCATTTTAAGCTGCTATAAAAAAAATGATTACATCATGGTATTAAAGAATTGATTCTTATATCTAAGAAATTGCTTATATTGATAAAATATTTCTTGAAAATATTTTAACTAAGCTGCTAATTTCAAAATGTGATATTATAATTTTTTTTTTATTTTTTGGGGGCAGATATCCACAATTTATTGATTTGAATTCAGTTGAATTGCTGGTTCATTAACTAAATAAATGATAATATGTTATCCTGTTAAAAATAATATTGCACATCTTAACTTAATCTTACCTCCTCAGTACTTTCATGGACTTTTAACAATTTACTAAATGTTTCTTTTCTTTTTTCCTATAGGTTATTTTAGTGTCTGCCAATAAATTGACTCGTTACATAGAACCATGTCAATTAACAGAAGATTTTGGTGGAAGTCTTACTTATGATCACATGGACTGGTTAAATAAGAGGCTGGTTGGTATATTACAATGAAATAAATGTTATTGCATATAAATACAACATATTTTGAAAATTTTATCATTTTAATGAACTAAAAATGGTAGATTATTTTCCCTTTTACAAAAATGGACAAATAGAGTACCTACCACAAATTGTAGCATAATGTTTGAGAAATTTCTAGAGTCAAATTCATTTGATTAGAGAGTCCCGATGCCAGTTGCTGGATAAATGATCTTCAGCAGTGTAATATTTAAATCTCTCTGTGCATCAGTTTCCACAACTCTAATATGTTAATAATAATATTGGATTATGGGTAAGATTACATGAATATTCTTATAAGACACTTGGAATAGCACCTGACATAAGGTAATAGCACTCTGTAAGGGTTAGCTCTTAATGTTGTCTTTGGTAATCTTAGTAAAAAATTTCTCTCATTTAAGTAGAATAACAGAGTAGCATAATTTCTTGAGAGGTAATCTAGTTGATATACCATTTTTGGAGGACATTTAAGCATCAATTTGAGTCATCAAACTGAAAAGCAGTTTGACAAATTAAGCTTTTCATTTCTGAAGATGTTTCTTTGTCATTCCAGCTCTCTGAAATCTGCTGTACTGCATACTACTACATTGTAATTTTTTAAGAGATATTTTTGCTATAGGGTACATGTGTTTGCAGGAGAGACAGAGAGAAAGAAAGAGAGAAATCACTCCTCAGGGGTGATGGCCTTACCAAAATCCCTTGTCCTCTATTCTCCTTTGGGAATTTTGGGCATGCATGCACACACACCTGACATGAGTTTCAAGCTTCCAGGTCTGGGACTTGAACCACGTCAACGATGTGGGAGTCCAGCAGTATAACCATCTGCTGGCCCCTACATTGTATTTTTTTTTTTTTGAGAAGTTTTTGCTATAGGGTGTGTGCACTTGCCAGAAAGACAGAGAGAGACAGAGAGACAGAAAGCAAGAAATCACCCCCTGGGGGGATGGCCACACCACAATCCCTTCTCCTCCATTCTCCTCTCACGATCCTGGGCATACACACACACACACACACACACACACCTGGCATGAGTTTAAGCCACCGGGTCCAGGACTCGAACCGCGGTTGACTACATAGGAGTCCAGCGACATAGCCATAACGCTAACTGCTGGTCTCCCTCCATTGTGTTTTGAACTGCTGAAAGAACAAACCTCAAATTAATTAAGCTAGAGTTTAGGTTAATTTTGTTGTAGAATAATATACCCTCAGAATGGATATCCATTTCTATTTCCACCATGTCTGAACAATAATATCAGACACATTAATTTATACTTTATTACATATGTTCAAACAGAGTCACCCAAATCTCTTTTAGGAAATATTCGAATAAATCATGTTATTGGGCCAACTGGTGGTGTAGTGATTAAGGCAGCTGAATCACACATGGCTGACTGTGGGGTTTGATCTGCAGACCTAGAGATTTGAAAAACACTCCAGGCACATATGTGTGCCTGCTCAAAATCCTCAAAGAAGGACAAAATGGAGAAGGGATTGCCATGTGACCATGCCTCAGAGTGGGTGCTTTCTCACTTTATTTCTCTCTCTCTTTCTCTTCTCCTACCCCAGAAAGTACAAACACCCTCTAGTAGATTAAAATAATATATTACTGGGAACCAGCAGTTAGCGTAATGGCTATGTCGTTGAACTCCCACATAGTCAACCGTAGTTCGTGTCCCAGACCAGGTGGCTTAAAACTCACGCCGGGCGTGTGTGCGTGCGTGCCCAAGATCCCAAGAGGAGAATGGAGGAGAAGGGATTGCGGCGTGACCATCCCCCATGGGGGGTGATTTCTCGCTTTCTGTCTCTATGTCTCTCTCTGTCTGTCTGGCGAGCGCACATGCCCTATAGTGAAAAATCTCCCCCCAAAAATATATATTACTAATTTATTTTTATGCTACGTTTGTTGTATCTAAGATTCTTAACTATTATGTGTAACAGATATGGGTTGATGATAGAATAGTAAAGTTTTCTATAACTAGAATTAGAGACTTAGAACTGGTCTAAATAATATTCATATAATTACAGCTGTTTCAGAAACAGGAATAAAAATAAACTTATCTGAACTGAGAATAAGAATTGTGTCTTAGGCCCAGCTACGGTGTAGGGCACCACTGCATGAGGTGGGGCCTGTACCAAAGCTTGGATTTGTTTCCTGGACCAACCTAAACAGGCGAGCATGCCAATAATCAGAGCTAAAGCCAGGATGGAGGGCAAGAGAATTTCACTGTGGTGAGATCCCATCAAAAATCTTTCCCTCAAACAAAAACAATAATAGTAATAATAATGATTTCCTTCTTTCCCCCTATACTTTTAGGCAAAGTATTCTTTTGATGACAGATAAATTAACAAACACACACTATTGTGAACTATGTCAGACAGTACAAAAAAAGGTTTTGACTTGTTTTTCTCTTATAAACAAAAGCTTATCTTTTATATATTTTTTCACTTTTTTTGTCTCACACCCACTATTCACCACCTACTCTCTACCAATGACTTCCCTCCCTATTGTCGCGAGCATCTACGCTGATCCTCTTCACCATCACATCTTCAGATCTCTCAATCTCTGTCATAAATTGCAGACACTCAGTACAAACTGAATGGGAATATACAGTGTATATCTTTTAAATTTTGGCTTACTTGCTCAACCTTAAATCTACTATATTCGTCCATTCTGAGTCAAATGATAGGATCTAATTGTTTATTATACCTGTGTAGTAGTCTGCAGTGTGTGTGTGTGTGTGTGTGTGTGTGTGTGTATAGTCACAATTTTTCAACCCAGTCATCAGTTTTTATTCACTTAGGCTGATTCCATGTTTTAACAATTATAAGTAATGCTGCAATAAACATGGATGTGCAGATATGTTTCTGAGTGTTTTCTTATCCTTTTGGGTAGATACTAAGAAGTGGAACTGCTGGGTAATATGGAAGTTTTATTTGTAGGTTTTTGAAATCTCCATCTTGTTTTCCAGAGAGATTGGACTAATTTACATTCCATCAACAATTTAAGAGTTCCCTTTACACCATAGCCTCACCAACACTTACCCTTTAATTTTTTTAACCTAGCCATTCTAACTGGGGTTAAATGATATGTCATTGTAGTTTAATTTGCATTTCCCTTCTAAAGAGTGACTTTGAACATTATTTTCTTATGACTCTTGCCATTCATAAATCTTCCTTGGAGAACTGTCTGTTCAATTAATTTGCCCATCTTTAATTGGATTATATCTTTTTTTTATGAGTGAGCTGCTTCCATTACCCACATATTCTAGGTATCAATCCTTTCTCTGAAGGATAATTTGCAATTATTTTCTCTCATTGCAAGGGTTGTCTTTTCACTTTAATTATTGTTTCTTTTGCTGTGAGAAAACTGTTTACCTTGATGTAATCCCACTTGTTATTTTAGGAACTATTGCCTGTGCTTTAGGTGTCTTATTTAAGAAATATTTACTTACTCAATGTCTTCAAAAGTTTCCCATATGTCTTCTACTAGTAGTTTTGTGGTTAGAGGCTTCATATTTATATTTAATTTTTAATTTAAATCCATTTTGAGTTCATTTAAGTTAACGATGAGAGAATATTAATAATTCCTTAATATATTTAAATTTTAAAAATTCATCATCCATTGAAATTATTCAATGTTCTATACAATGGTTTTGTCTTTTCTTGTGTAAACTGTTTTGTACACCTGTAGATGAATTGTGAAATGACTTCCTGGGGGGAGGGAAAAAGTTCTTGGCCAACTCATTCTGTTCTTTTTAATTGAAAACCCTACTTATACATTAACTTTTAGGATTATTCTTAGTGTACTCATAAAATCTCACTTGCAGGTTTTTGAGAAGTTTACAAAGGAATCAACTTCATTATTAGATGAACTTGCTTTAATTAACAATGGAAGTGACAAAGGAAATCAGCAAGAAAAAGAAAGGTAGGTGGCTAGTAGCAAGCAATTAAATCTTTGCAAGGCTCTGACTAATCTGATAAAAGATTCCTGTATTGTTAATGCAACCCAAAAGAACAAAGGTAAACAAGACTCCATTCAATCAAAATGATATGCAATATTCATGATAATTTGCTTTACATGTTCAACATATTGATTTAAATGAAATTTTCTTTATAAAAGCCATTTTAAATCAATATACTGTATTTATCTTTCTCTGACACTGTGTAAAATGTTCTGTTCAAGAAATGTTTTAAAATGAAAGAATTTTCTGCATTTTTAGAGTTCTACTCCTTGCCAGTAGGAATGTTAAAAAGGTTGTCACTTAAAATAAAATTATTATAACCTTATTTAAATACATTTGCAATTAAATATCTAGCTTGTAAAACTTCCCCTGGGCTTGTACTATATGTGATATTCATGAGTCCAACGTGGAGAATTAGGTATTTATGACACCAGATGAAGTAGTAGTTCTATTAGCTAACTGTACTACCTAGATTTATCATTTTAAAAGATTTTCATTGAATTTTTTAACCTTGTCAGTTTTCATTTGTTTGTTGTTTATGCCATATCTCTGTCTTCAGATACAAAGCACTTTCAAAAGCAAATTAATTCTTTCTGGTTTCTTTATTACTGGTTACTAGAACAGTAATTTTTCATTAGTAAATTTGAAAGAGTAAGTAGTCTTCTTGTCTGTTCCTTTGAATCTGACCTTGAAAATACAGTGAAACTTTGATAAAATACATCTCGTTATTCTGTGAATCCAGATGTAGTCACATACCAATTAATTGAAATAACAAGTTAAAAGAATGTTAGAAGGTCATAGTTTTAACACCATATCTAATTAGAATAAAGTAAAAAAAATGTAAAAATTAGTGATTCGAATGTAAATCTAATTATTGGGTTGTTGGAAAAGTCATGATGCATTTTTGCATAGAAAAACGTAGAAAAAATACTTCATGACTTTTCTGACAGGACAGTAAAAATTACCATAAGCAGTTAGAAGCACTTCTGTCCTAAGGATACCATATAAAAATGTAAAATTTTAAAATTTGGCATGTATTTTTAGAAATATATGATTTTATGTATATAGCTATAACACACACATACATGCTACAGTCTAGAAATGGAAAATGTTGGGCCAGCATATGGTATGTTGACTCTGCATTCCCGTATGGTCAACCACAGTTTTAGCCCTGGACCTGGTGGCTTGCTTTTTCACTGTCTCTCTCTCTGTCTGTCTTTGCTGAGCTCATGTGCTTGTAGCAAATTTTTCAAAATAATATAATGATAAATAAAATAAAATAAAAAATTCACTTATAAAAAGAAATTGATAGTGTCACATCAGTTACTCGATAAAAATTAGCGAAACTTTTTTTTTTTTTTTCTCTTTTCTGTTTTGCTATAGGGCATGTGTACTCTCCAGGAAACAGAGAAAAAAAGTGAGAAGTCATTCCCCAGGGGAAATGACCATGCTACAGTCCCTTCTCTTCCAGTCTCCTCTTGCGATTTTGGGCATGCACATATATGTGCCAGCATGTTTATCAAGCCCTGGAGTCTGGGACTTGAACCACAGTAAGCCATGTAGGATCAAGCATCTTAACCACCACGCTATACCTACTGGCCCAAACCTCTTTGTTGGTTAGTACATCAGAGTATTGGATGTTTCTTATTTATATTCCATGGGAAAAACATTCTAAGAGGCTGCCTTTAGAAGATAAGTCCATATTCAAAGAGTTTAATGCTTTTAACTTTGTTTGAACCCAGAGAGTAACGGTGAACATTAAAAATAGGTCCTGAGGAAGCAGGGCCCCTTTTCCTTCACCGAATATTATCTTGTTCATTATTATGATGAAACTTTGGGAAATGCTGGTGTTTGCATGACTACATGAAATAGCAAACTCTTGTATGTGCCAATCCTTCCTCAAGGAACTCGTGTCACTGCTTAGTTGGTTTTAAAGTTCAAATAATAAAGTCTCTGCTTTGGAAAAATGTTTTATCAACCTTCATGTGTCAGTCTTCAGGAAGCACTGAGAGTACACAAGCAATCGAGGCCTGTATCATTTAACAGAAGTGAGAGATTCAGAATGCGACTGGTCAGTTACAGCACCTCGGTCATTAACTTTAATGTGCTGTGTCCCTTACCTTTCTTTCATCTTCTCTTTCCCATTTGTTTAAGAAAATAAAGACTAAAACCCAACTGCACAAGAAACATAATTAGAATAGAGGAGAGAGTACAACTGCCAGGACACACAAACCAGCCTAGAATAGCAAACAGAATATTTGCAGCTATCAAAGGTTGCTGTAGATAAGTAAGCTTCGGACTGGAGGATGGTTCCATGCATTTTTAATGTTACATTGCCTGGTTATTATATGGTTAAAAATTTCATTTTGAAACAAATATTTAGTGGGCAAATACTAAAATGGTTTCCTTTAATATATTTAAAAGAATACTGTAATTAATAACAAACTATACAATTTTATTATTGTAAATAATAAATTAAAACTACTATGTGACTTAGCACATTGGTATTTCTCTGGTTCCCTGAATTTCATTCTCTAATGGGCCTCCTTATGTGTAAGATAACTTAGCATGGTAGAACAGAATGCTTTAAATCATACTTGTGTGCTCCTGTTCTGATATGTATGTATTTAGGAATTTTAAGTTATATGGAGAGACATACAGCTTTTGCAAATTATTCTTTTGGTGCTTGGCAGGTCTGTGGATTTAAATTTTCTTCCATCAGTTGATCCTGAAACAGTTCTTCAGACAGGTAAGAGGAAAAAAACATATTTATTAGTGATAATAATAATCAAATAATCATATTGGATTGATTGATGAATTACATATAAACGTTTATTCAGCATGTATGCCATACATATAGTAACAGCTTGAGGGAAAATTTTTCAAACTGCTTTTCGTTTAACCTAACAGCATGTTCACATACCTTTTTCTAAATGAGAACTAATTCTTTGAAATACTCAGATTTATTTCCTTATCTGTAAAGTGGAGATAAACATTTTCCTTTCATCGGGTTGCTATTAAACAGTTACTATGTGCCAAGCATTGTATTTTTCAGTATTTTCATATTTCATTCTTCTAATAACCTTCAAGACAATTAATATTATTTTCTCTATTCCGTACTTGAGGAAGCCAAGGCTTAGAGAGGTAAAATGACTTGCTCAGGAACAACTCACTATTGAACTCTTATCGCCATAACTCAAGATACGTCAGCATCCAAAGCCACTAGCTATATTGCCTTACAATCACCTGTGTGAAAGCATTTATTTAGCACCTTGCAATGACCTTGCATGTAGTGAGTGCTCAGTGCTGTGTATGTATATTCCAGTCCAAATATCTTTTTTTTTAAATATGCCACCTTTTGACCCCTAATAGGTCATAATCCTAGTAAGGACTTACATATGTTAAGTCATTTGTTCTTTACCACAAATCTGTGAAGTAGGTACAATTACAATTACATTTTTTTTCTTATTGACATGTGTTCACTAGGAAGGGACAGAGACCAAGAAAGCAATCTTCCCCTACTGGGACATGGTCATAATGCTCCCTCCACCATGCTCTTCTCCATCCTGTCAGGATTTAGGGCATGCAAGCACACATGCCCAGTGAATTTTTCAGTCTGGGACCTGGGTTGTGGTTGGCCACGTGGGATCCATCTCTGCAAGGTTCAACTGCTTTACTGTAGGTCCGGTTCCATCATCCCAATGTTAAGATAGAAAACTGAATCAGGTAAAGTTTAAGTAACTTGTACAGATTATTCAGCCAGTAAATACGAGAGTTGGATTTGCTCCTAGGCAGTTTATTATCAAAGTTGGTCTTTGAAATCATAATATTATGCTGCTTCTCTGAAGAAACAGTATCCCTGTTAAAAATAACAACTGTCAAAGTAGGAAAAAATATATTTTTTGATATTAACAGTTTTTATGAATATATTACAAAACATTTATGAATGTATTAAAAGACTTTGAACAAATCTTTAGAATAGTCATTCTTCCAAGTATTACATGTAATGAAGAGTAAAGAAATAAATTCTGAATATTTTTGTTGTAATGATTTGGCTGCCCTAAATTTTTCTCCTGTGATACAGATTTTATTACTTTAAAGAACAGAGAAACATTTGTAATCTCTGAATTATAATATATTTAGAAAGCACGGTAGACTATCAGTAAAAATACTGCTCTAGACTTAAAATGTAATTCCATGTATATATTTTACATTTTGAAAGCTTCTTATTTTTAAGCCATTGAATTAAGCAGCTTTTAAAATTTGTATTTTAAAATTAACTTTATCTGCCACTAAGTCCTATTTTTTTATGGTATTAACTTTTAGAGTAGGGATTCAAAGAGAGTATAAAATGGAGACATTGCAAACAATTATGTATATGTTTTAGACACTGGAAATATCCAAGCTCTTATAAAAGTTCTGTTCCTGTATAACCTCATTTCCTCTGTGAGAGAGAGAACCTGAGATAAGACCTCTAACAGGATCCTAATGCCACAGTCCACCCCTAGCTTTAGCTAGCCCCAGATCACAGGCACGCACATGCCTAGCCTACTCCGGGAGCTTTCTGGACACTAAACCACAGCTTTCCCATGTGAATGACCCTTGCAATGTCACGTTTTACTGTTGTGCCACCATCTAACCCCTGTATCTGTATAATGAAAGCCATGTAAATTTTGGGTATTTCCCTGAATATAGATGAAAGGAATTTAAATAGCTGTATATTATTTTGGCACTTAAGTGATAATCAGAATAGTTTTATCCAGGGAAAATGATTTTTTAGTTTCTTTACTTTTAAAAGTGTCCATATTCCTATAGCTTTAGATCTTGCACATTTACAATTTTAATTTCTCATGTATGAGATTTTCTATGTGCATTTGCTGTCATTATATTACATTCAGTGTAGTTCTTACACTAGTATGACTCTTTATAACTCACAATTTATATGTTGTAGAGTTCTATGAATAGATATTATTTAAATATTATTCTGTACCAGTAATAAAATCTTTGTCCCTTTGTGTACATTTGTTACACTATCAATTTTTTTTAAGTGCTAAAATTAAACAAATGTTTAGGTAAATATAAAATTCTAGAGAATATTGTTTGCATTAGTAACATCAAACAGAAATCCCAGAATATAATTTGTTTTAAGGAGAAAGGATTAGTTGGCATAGAAGAGTCCTTAGTAATGAATCCACCAGTAATAATGTGATAAATAGATAGAAAATGTGTTCGTATATGTGTATGTATATATATATA